AAGGACTCGTCCAAGCAGTCACTGCAGAGTTGGTAACGACTGAGCGCAGATTTAAAAAAAAGAAAGAAAGTATTAGCTATTCTTTGCAGAGTAGAAACTTCTTTTGGAAATCCAGACCACCTCTAATCAAGCTGTCTTGTTACAATGTTCATACCACTCATCAAGACCTTATATTGAACTCATTTGTTTCACAAGGGCATATGCAGGAGCGTGATTGGGCTACGATTCCATTTGTGCCCTGCTCTGCCCTGCCCCACAAATGTCCTTGTTAAGGACAAAAGCATATTGGACCCTGCCTAAGTAGTTTGCGTTTTGAGTGACTATGGCTGGGGGGTGGGAAGAGGAAGAAGGCAAATTACCAAACTAGGAATGGTATGATTTTTAACTTTGAGGCAATCCTTGATCCCCCACTCTCTAGGGAACAATACCCAGAGAACTCAGACATTATTACCAAATTAACACATAAAATGTGACTGAGGGAGAAATTATTAAACAAATGAGTGAAGAGTTACCATATTAGTCACATCCAATTTTAATTACATATAACACAGTCAATTCAAATTTAGTTTTTGTTCTGGCCCATCTATTACTTTTTAAGTGTGTCTCTCAGCAAGTCACTCAAATATTTTAAGCAATGCAAATAACCTTTCTTTGGCAGTCAGAAGCTCTCCGTGTGCTAAGCTTCTCCAATCATTCCTCACCATGCTAGGGTCCCAATTCTGATTAGTGCAGGTACCATGACAAAATTTGCAGCTAAGGCAATGTGTAATTTGACCTGAAATACATAGCTCCAATACACAATTATCTCATAGCAGGTAGTAGGATGTAGCCAACTTTGGCTGATCTTGAAACTGCTAAGAAGGGTCAGAGCTATTAGTAACAACAGGAAATCAGGAGATCCTATGGCTATAGATTTGGAAGTTGAAAAATACCTAAGAACACAATTATAATCACTAGGAATCAAGCTCAACTCCAGGGAGATTATATTATTTACTTATTTGTTTATATATCAGATTTGTCACCACCCATCTCATTAAAAAGCAACTCTGGGTGGTTTATCTCTTTATCTAGAAAGTTTTGTGGCAAAAAGAAAGTTGCACTACAAATGAGAGCCAGTTTGGTCTAGTGGTTAAGGCACCAGGCTAGAAAGCAGGAGACAGTGAGTTCTAGTCTTGCCTTAGGCATGAAAGCTGGCTGGGTAACTTTAGGCCGGTCACTCTCTCTCAGCCCAACTCACCTCACAGGGTTATTGTTGTGGGGAAAATAGGAGGAAGAAGGAGTATTAGGTATATTCACAGCCTTATTTATAAAAATAATAAAGGCGGGACAAAAAAAAATCTAAAAAAAATGCACTGTTAAAACATCTTTTACCCAGAATGTAATCCTGGGTTTAATTTAGATTTGGTGTATATCGCAAGGACATGGCTGAGAAAGGGGGAGTCCATCTCTTCCCACTCTCTCCCCCAGCTACTCCGTAGCACAGAGGCTAAAAGTAGAGGGTAAGGAGACAGATAAGCTGTTGTCTATAGGGCTTCTATTTCACTGGCTCCATTTGACAGTCTGCCAAATCTGAATGAATTCTACTGCATCTGGAGACAGAGATACTGTTAGCGTATTGTCTATCCTGCAACCCAAGTCTCGCTTCCTGAGCTAGCTGATGTGACCCCTGGCAAGGCATTGGTTTACTCTAGGCATTTTCTTTGGGACACACATTAGATGTGGTTTTCTGCTTGGGTGGAGCTGGTGATTTGAAGTTGGAGGAATTCCAGTAACTCCACTGGCAGGGACAGACCACCTCCTAGTGAAACTGGCAGCTGATAGAAATCTGTTAAAGCAATCCAATTCAGGCACCCAATGTATCTGGGTATTTACCCTAATGCATTTAGGGAATTTCCCATTTCACTTATTAGCTATTGTGTTAGTGCTCTGGCTAATCTGTGGAACATAATTATAATGGCCACTCTTTCCTCTCATATGACCAGACCAATTTCAGCAAGGAATATGAAAATGATGAAGCAGATTAAGATGACAAGGGGAACACAAGTGGAGGAACTCTTGGAACAGAGTAGACTGGACAGGGATTGAGATCCATTTGAAGGTTATGCAGCAGCTGGAGAGGCATTAAAGAATGCTTAATTCTTTGCCACCACTGCATCCATGTAAGAGACCAGCACGGATTTTTTTGTACAGCTGGCATCTTCTTCACCAAGATGTTGGAGATGCAGAGCCAACATTATTCTTGGTGGGCAAAGTTGATCAGATGTGTTCCAGCCCTTGGACAGATCACAGGGAAATAAACTTAGCAATAGCTTGTCCTATTATTTATTTATTTATTTATTAAATTTTTCAGCCACCCATCTCCCCCCAATGGGGGAACTCTGA